ACTCGGAGCTTTACATCGCAAAGATCTTAGCCCACTGCCACTGCGCCCACCCCAAGACATAAGTTGACAAGCCCCAAGTGCCTGTAATATCACCAGCACCCCTCAAAACCTGAACACAGTACTGCCGTCCACAAATATAGAGCACAAAATTCTCTTTTAAGAACAGGTAAATTTAGTTAACGTAAGTCAACGATGCATAGTTCAAATATCATTAAACAATTTCAATATTCTAAAACTGGGTTATGGTTTTTTCATGATATCTAAAAAAATTTTTTGGCGGCAGAAATAGGTAACGTGGCAGTACTTCCCTGGACGAACTCTTTCACAATGAGCTCTAGTGGTACTAGCAACGAGATGAATCACGAACATCAATAGTAAATGAAACAATATTCTTTATTGCAATCTTTAGAACACTTAAGGATTAAAAAAGACCTTAAAAGTTTGCATTTCCGCTTTCGCTGTGTTCGTTACCGCGGTCTCCTCAACGATCACTACAATGTATATGGAAGTCCTTGTCTAAGCAAATCGTATGAGCCCATTGAACACATGGTAGCAACTGTACACTGCTGAGGAGTTCCTCTCTTCCGTCTGTCATTTCCATAATCAGATCAGATCTAGGTCACCATAACACACTTATGTGCCAAGTTTTATTAAAATCTGTTAACGAAAAGTGGGTGAAATTCAACGTTCTCCGTCCGACATAAGTCCGAAACAATTACTGTGAAATAATTAATAATATAATAATTTTTCCCAAACATGCTCGGAAATGTTTGCATTAGGTACTTTCAAAAAACGAACACGGAAAGTTTGTCATTCATGGACCATGCGACTTCTTTCCGGCTAAGGCCTGCAAAATAAGTATAAAAATCAATTACTGTCCTCTTCTCTAAACTTTTAAACCTACCTACTAATAACATAACGAACTATGTAAACGGACAAAAGTAAAACTCATACCTCCAATTGACCAGTGTTCATAATTGCGAGAATTAAAAATACCTACCCGTACTGTTTACTTAAAAGAAAAGAAAATAGCGGTAACATTTAAATTAAAATGTTTGGTATTCTTTTGTCTTTTTTGTATTTTGATCGCGAAAATGAGTGCTAGTCATAACGAAAATACAATAATAGATACAAATTCAAATACATCATCAGAAGTTCAGCAGACTACTATTAATGTGCCTGGGAAAACAATAACATTTTCTTTTAGCAATTGTCCTAACACATCGAGTATTACTTTTAATATTAATTAATATTTTTTACTTGAACTCCTTAGTCTTTTATTATTTCTTCACACTGTTTGAGAAAAAATCTATACATGTCTCGGCGGGAACAAGGATTGCTTGACTCGTATTTAATACAAGGCCTCGCTCGTGCTCGTCCTTGTACCTCATACTCGTCCAGCAATCCCTTACTTCCCTGCGTCTGCAATAATGTACTAATAACAATTAATTAATACTCGACCAAATTAAAAAATACATGACGCGAATGAAGCTTCATACTTGACATTGCCTTTGATTTGGTCGAGTACTACTTATTTGAAAGTAATTGTTTCGGACGGATGTCGGACGGAGTAAACCCCAGATTCATTCCCTCATTTGTTAAAAAGTCATATACTTTCATTGTTGTTATTGGACATTTTGTTCTTGTTCTAAGACCTATTCCGTTATATACAAATTAACAACGAATTATCTCGTAGCTTAGTGTCATTTAACGTGTTAATGTAAATTAAGGTGGACCTAGCAATAAGCGCCATACAAATCCATGTTGTGTTTAGTGACTAAGTCGAACGCAGCTGTTGTTACAATGACTAACGATTACTATTGTTTATGGTTGCAGTGACACGTTTTATACGGAAGGTATTTGATAAATACGTACTATATTATACTAGCTAGAACTATAATTTGTAGAGTTAATGTCGAAATCACCTCCTAAAATTGAAATTAAATCGTTTTAAAAATACCTCGATTCTTTTATCTCTTTCTCACATGGTCTTAAAATAGAATAATAAAAACTGTAACTATATACGACAATTTTATTTATCCTTCTAGAACAGAACTAATAAAACGGCAGTTATAATTCAGCTCAGTATAGCACCGAGCGCTAATAAAAAATCACCACAGCGGTTTTTATATAGGCGCCAACTGTCGAATTTCGAATTAAGAACGTCCGGTTGTGTAGGTTCAGAGGAAGCGCACTTCATTAAATTCTGTTCTCGTATTTAATCCCGTATATTGGTAGCACTGATTTCTGGCATAACTTTTAAAAATATTTATCTGACATTTTTTTATGAAGAACGTTAATTATCTTTTTGACTAAATAAGTTGTTGTGTAGCATTTTATCTGTGAATTCCTGCGATAAGTGCGCTAGGTTCTATATAAAGTCAACTCAACTAAGTACAAAGCAAATACCTAGTGCATTAATACGAACATACGTCATTAAAAGATTTGTTTGGAATATTTTTGAAAGAAAAAAAAAAGAAAAAAGACTACAATTATGGCCAGGTGCATAGGTCAATGGTCAGGTGACGTAAGTGGAACATACTTACATACATTTTGATGATTTTGAGTCAAATGTTTTGAGCTCTAGGAAGAACAGAGATTCTCTTATAAGAATTTTGACAATACACAAACTTGCCTTTGTTTATCAGCTACACTAAATTCAATACTTACGATGTTTTTTGTCGAAAACATGCAAATTGTGATAACATTTCTTTTCCCATTTTTTATATTTTCTAAGCTAAGTTAGTTTTTGTCAAAAATCGCTACCAGTGGGAACAAAATGCATGAGTCATCCATTTTATAGTGACCTTAGCATAAGTTAGCATTCAAACTAACAGTAAGCGTACAAAATATGCAAAAGTATATTTACCTGTCGATATAGCAATATCGAATTCTAAACTCTACCATGAACGACTTGTGGTCCAAGTTTCAACAATTTATACCCATCGGCGTGTGGTTCTTCGTGTATACAACGCGGCAAAAACAAGAAGGAATACAATCCAATGCAAAAAAGTAACCTTTAGCGTCTTTTCAATAATTGCCGGATTCTTTGTTTCTAGTAAAGTTCGAAGCTATAATTTTATTGCTTATAATAACGTTGAATCATAATGTGAGGCTTGTGGAAGATACTTTTAACAAACATTATTCAATATGGTACAGTTAAGAGCACATAAAGCTTGACACTTTGTACTTTGAACCGTTATCGTAAACGGCACAGAGTTGGATTTAAGTCTTAAGTGTAAAGCTTGATATGCTCTTGACCCTGTACAAAGAACATGCAGTGCTTTTCAGGAATAGTAACTTAGACCAAATTAGTTCATTTATTGACTATAATAATTAATGATACAGCCGTACTCGCCTAATCACAACGTGAAAATGTTATTGTTATTGATACACCTCAGTTTTTAACCGGCTTTTTATCGGTCGGTCGGTTTTTTAGTACTCTGTAATGAGATTATTTTTGAACTATCTTCCTGATACTGATACACTAGGTGCTTTTTAAATAAAGCTATAGATGTAAATTAAAGAACCGATGTATGTAATAACTTATTTATATATTAAAAAACAGACCTGATCGGTTTTCACTGTTTGTTGCCGCGGCCGCAAAAACGCAGATAGAAGTCTCGTCAAACCTAATTATATGAGCTTAAAATCAGGTAACTGCTGTATAGTGTTGAGGAGATCGTCTCATCTGTCTACCATTTATATCATCAGATCAATTCTAGGTTACCACAACATTTTATTTTCATGGGTTGGGTGGTTTCATTACATTACTTCTATGTACCAAGTTTTGTTAAAATCGGTTAATGGAAATTGGGTGAAATTCAATAAACCGGCTTAGTACCCAGATTTGCCACCCTTAGAGGTTGAATATTCTCTTCAAATTTGAATGGAGCCACTACTAAGGTATCCCTTATCCAACAGCAAAAGGAATAATCTAAATCATTCACAAACAAAAATTCATAGAATTGAGAACCTCCTCGTTTTTGCAGTTAATAATAAATTGCACTCTTACAAACTTTCTGATCAAAATTCATTTTTATCTGTTTATAAACACGTAAACAATTTCAACACAACCACAACAACATTATAACATTTAAATTCAACCCTATATCGCTTGCGATAAGAACGTTCCAAAGTCCAAAGTGTCAAGAAAATTGTAGTTCCTAAGTTCAAAGTGTCAAGACAATAGTACTTCTCACTAATAAATACAATAAATACTTTTTTAAAGGCGACAAATTAAAAAAATTCACATGATTACAGCTTATCTAAATTAGATGAATGGAAATGTTAAATTTTACGTCCCACAAGGTATGCCAATTTCCTAAACGCAGACGATATCACAAGAAAAGGCTAATTACGAATTTTATCAGAAGGTAATAGAGTAGGTAAGAACTCGTTTACCTTGTGGAGTAGCCACTAAAGAGAAACAACTTGGACTAGATTTTTAAAATGCACTTAGGTATTTTCCTTTATTTACGTTGTTATTTATGTAAATGCATCTTTGCCCATGGAAGACGCACTTTTTGCTCGTGGCGTAATTGGCACTTACATTATACTTTTTGTCGTTTTAAAATTCCTCGCTAATAAATAGGCGAGCGAAAATTCCAATGTTATTTCGGTAAACCAAGAACAAGAAGTATTATTTCTTCTGTTAAAATGATTGATCACGTTTTATAAAATGAACGTGTACCATGGAGTGCCTGCGTCGCGATTGCATGTGCAAGACCAGAGTTGTGCCTCCAAAAGGGGAAATGTTGCATAAACCTGTCCTAGCCTCGGGAAATTCACGATCAGTGATAGTCTAGATTGCATTTTGAATTTCGAAACGTTATTTCCAATAAAACGTTTTAATATTCAAATAGACAGATAGAATTTATAATAAACATTACACTGTTCCATGTCAGCCAGTATGAAATATTTGTATTAAAAAAGAGTGAAATGAATAAAGTAGGTAACAAATTATTAAATTTTAATAATAAAGTTAATATAATACTGACCGAAAAAATCCTCCCAATTCATAGAATGATCTGAGTCAGCATTCGCACCGTCCATCTTCTTAAGCACTTTACTTAACGAACTTTACATCTTCATAACTAAAAGGGAACACATTGCTTGTTTTCTTTGTCACCAAACACTAAATCGTTGATAAACAAAAAGACATCGCGATAAATTCGCGTGGAGCAGCGAAAGCGGGAATCACGCACGACGTCTCCCCACGACGGACAACTTACAAGTGAATGAAAAACTTTACTCTCCCTCCCCCTGTTGCTTTCCTCCTCCCGCATGCACTCGGTCTGCATCCTACGCTGCTGCCTCCCTATACGTCCTACGCGAGCATTATAATGTTTAATGCAAGATTTAGTATAGGTACGTGTGTGATTAAATGGAACTTATTGTGGTCTAGCTTGTCGGTTTCTATTTCTATTTCAATCTTCCTTGTGCAATTGAAAGTGTGCGTACGTTGTGCAAAGATGTTTGTACAACGTTTTAAATATTTGATTATTAAATTCTCTGATATTAATATGTAAGTCCTCACCCGTGAGCTACTGTGAGTAATGCGACCCAGACTGATGTAATGTCATTTTTTTATGATTATAGTGACGGGAACTACGTTCCACTCGTCATCACGTAACATCACGTCTCATAAAATATGCGCACAAGTCCTATGTGCGCGTATATCTTTCACAACGACCTCTACTGCTACTAAAATGTACTAAATCTCCTTACGAAAGTTCTAGTATAGATAGATTAGTTACGCATGGTTCCCCAGGGCAATACCCATAATCATGCGTTTATGTACTTTATTAGACAATTATTTTAGATAATGTATTAGATAACATCGCATACGTTGTTTTGATCCCAAAAGTAAATAACTTTAAAGCACTTATATTACGGAAATCGGAAACAACGACAGTACCAGAAACGCCCAGAGATAATACAGAAAAGTTAGTTTAGACTTCATAGATGGCGACACCATGAAAACCGGTGAGCAAGTCGCTCGACTACGGAGGTCGTCAAAAAAGGTAGGTCCTTGAGTTTAAACATGCTCCGGATTCATAATAAATGCTATACATCTTCTGCATAAGAGTCGTCGTCGTCGTCGAGAGTTCAGGTTGTATCGACTTTGATTGATGCCGCATAATAGTGGAAGTGTTGAATCAATCACTCTGGAAAAAATATTTATAGTAAAATTGAGGATGTGCGCTGATTACTATACGGTGTGAAAACACGATTCCCAAACATGTTCACGACTGAAAAAAAAACACAAACTTATCTCAAGAAAACCGCTTTATTCAATAGTTACTTTACATCATCTTTACATACACCAAGGATCTTTTTCACTTCTCATGCTCTTAAGTTCGTATTTATGCTGGGTGTAGGCTGCGTAGAATAGGATTTTATGCTCCAGTGCACAAAATAAAATGGTCGTTCAAGACCGAGGCAATGACGCCTGCGCCAAAAGCCACACGCACTAGAACTTTATAAAATAAAGTTTTACTTTTGGTTTTTTATCCGTGTTATATTACAAAATTAAAAAAGTAGGCAATAGTAATACCACAGATAATACAATACTATACTAGGTAATACTAATAAATTATAAGAAATAGAAATGCATAAAAAACAAAAGCTTGTAAAATATAACTGAGCATTATGTAGTCCGCGACCTGAGTCACGTGTAGAAAAAAAAAGTAGTACATTGGCGGAAAGTTCTTATTTTTTTGGCAATAGTTGTGTTATCGTTTATTTGTAATATAGCTGTTTAATTTCCTCGTAATCGAAGTGAAAAGCAGTGTATAACTCGTTCATAAAACTCATTTTACCCTCGACTTAAGTATCCTCGTCGATATACTCGTCTTGGGTAAAATGACGCGTTTTATGCACTTGTTGTACAATCTACTATTTCATATCAACAGAACTAAATGGAACACATATATTATACGACATACATTTCTCAAATGTCCCTGCCGTTCGACCCGCGCAATAAAACTTATTCAGTACAGGAAAAATTTGAATCCGACCTCAGGCATCTTTGACTTCTACTGCGAATTAGAGTCACATTCTAGGAGGATATTAAAGTACGGCAATTTCATCTGCAAGTTTGTCAAATCTATTCTACTTAGACAATTGTTTACCCTATACAAGACCAATGTTTATTCGTTACCGCGCTGATGAGAACCTGCGCGACAAATCTGTAACTGTAACTAGGGTTTCCGTACGCTCTTGACCAGGACCCTGATAACCAAAATTCGATCATGCCATTATATAAGCTAGTTATGGGCTGCCGCCCCATTCTTGCCGTTACAGGGACGTTCCCCGTAACTTCACCCAACCCAACCTAAACTTTTTTTATAATATTAAGTGACGGGAAGAACAAGTCGTGCGCCTGATGATCAGCGACACGTCTATCCATGACAGTTGCAGTGCCAATCAGAACTTTAAATCGCAAAGATCTGAGGGGCACTGCCCCAGCGCCCGTTACTCTGAGACATAAGTTTACAAGTCCCATCCCATGTGCATGTAATTTCACCAGTACCCTTATCCTTCAAAACCGGAACGTAGTAATGCCACATTACTACTTGATGGCAGAAATCGGTAAGGTAACCTATATAGTGTAATCGAAATGGCACTGCCTTGTACAGCACTCCAAAGTAAGCTTGGATTTCAGGGCTTTACACGCCACCTGAATGACAATTATTGTAATCTTGTACTGAATGACAATATTTACTTGTTACAAGTTTGCGTTCAAATATGGTTTGTGGATCTAAAAACTTCACAATAATTGTAAAATACGCTGTATTTTAACTACATAATCGATTAAACAAAATAATCAGAAACCATAAATTTAAAAGTCCAAAAAATTATGGAAAATAGAAAATAATTTGCCATATAGGGCGGTCTACACTGCTCCTTCATTATGAAGTTGAAGTTCGAAGATCCAAAGAAAAAGCGTAGTGGACTATCATTGCTTATCTAACGGTTACCTAGGGTTCTTCCACCAATGAATTTACAGCAAGTGAGGGACGTCACGGAAATGAACTTAGCGTTCGAATACATTTCAAGATCCAAGTCAATTGTTTGATTTATGAATTTAAGTACAGTATGTGGATTAAATTTAATAAATAAATTGAGTGCATGCGTGTTTTAAAAGTAATTAATAAATATTTGTGACAATGTTATGCAATATGATGTAAAATAACTTTAAAATAAATATTAAAAAACAACTTCACTTTACCATGTTCGAAAAGTGTATTATTTGACAGTTGTATCCGAAAGCAAATACAGTCTGTGGTCAATCATTGATCGTTTGATTCTCTAACAACATGGCGAAGTTATAGTCAGTTGTTATTTAACGTGTAATTTTTCATGTTTAGACCTAGACAAATAGGGTAATTATTGTTTGTGTTCTATTCTTAGTTTCTTGTGTTCCAATATCGAACAGTCGGCGGCACGGCTTCACTTAAAAGTAAGTTGTTTGGCTTCAATGTCACGAGTTGTAGAGATGTTAAGCTACTCTATTTGTTGAATAACTTTTACCGATAATTGCATTTGATTCCTCACATTTTTATGCACGTTATCCTTAATTAGATTATAAAGAGCATGTAAGCACTGAGTTTTAAAGTTGTCGCGTTTGTTTTAGTTTAGAAACCGACGTTGAAGACGGCGAATGGGGAGAACAATATTTTGGGGATCATTGAACTTCATTGTAGGGATTTTTTAATGGTTTCACGATGCCACGGCGCGCAATTGAAGTAGCACAGGTTCCTGTACATCCTAAAAAGAAGACCAAATTGTCTGACGAGCTTTCACCTAGTCTGGACGTGAGTTTCTGCGACGACGAAGCCCTACCTCCGGGAATCGTCTTTTGTGATGTGCTCCAAAAGAAATGGCGCATCGGAAAGCCTATAGGTGAGTTCCATGCCCGGTTTATTTCGTACTCGTTTGAGAAAGTGCCAGATATTTTTCTAAATTTCCTTAATAATTTCACATTTAATTCAGTAAACTTAGATATAAAGAAGTGCTAATGGTCGATGTCTTAAAAGCTATTTTTTGGTATGTAGAAGATGGTTTCATCTTTTTCTTGAAGTTTTCCAAGCGCAGTCTAATTTCACAACTCCCACAAAACAATATAGGGTGATTGTTTGGAAAGAAAAGAGGACAACAGAATATATTATTATCTTTATTAGGATGGCTAGATTTCATCTGGCTGGGCCTTAAGCATGCCCAAGAGTTTATGCCTGTTAGTGGGCTTTCTTACGAGGCACAAAGGTGTGTTAACTGCTTAATTGCCAAATCTAGCCTCTATTCTCTATCGTAACTTTTGTGTCCTGAGAGAGTCCAATTAGGTACTCAGAGGCTGTTGCTGGCCAACGCCATAGCCTCTACAGTGTTTGGTGATATAGACATTATGACAATAATTCGTACACATGTACTAATTCGATACCAGCCATTAATACTACGCTAACTTGACTTATATTGATTTTGCGATACCATATTATGCCATGATACCAAATTATTCAGCTAGTTTATATTATATTCAAAATTAAGGCAATAATTTGTAGTAAAAAATCTGTAATTATTTTTGAAAAGAAAAGTCTTCTTTAAGCAGTGCATGTTGCCAGTGATGACCTACAGCTCTGAAATGTGATCACTTACTATGGGCTTCATAAAAAAGCTCAAAGTCACTCAATGAGGCATTTCTCTACGTGATCAAATCAGAAATGAGGAGAACTGTAGAAGAATGAAAGTCACCAACATAGCTCAAAATATTAGCAAGTTGAAGTGTAAAACTGAAAACTGTTGGGGCAGAAAGATTCTCAAATGGAGAACATGAACTGGAAGGCGTTCAGTGGGTCGACTCCCTACTAGATGAACGGATGACCTGTTAAAGACGGCGGGTAACAGATTGATGCACGTCACGTCCGACCGGCTAGTCTGGCAACCTTTGGGGGAGACTGATATGATGATGATGTTTGAAAATTATACATTTAACGTAAGCTTCCCGTTTTGGTAAAAAGTTGCAATTTTTAAGTAACATTATGTTAATTGTGTTCATTGCTGGTGTCAATTTAATAAACAACCTGCAATTAGGACTGGGGACTTAATGTTATATTTGTTTTATTAAAGATTGCCAGTTTTATGTTTGGTAGTAATTAAATGTTTCATTCAGTATAAACACTTTTTCGCACTTGATTTTTTAATATACTGTAAATAAATAAGATTACAAATATACAAAATTGTATTTGAAACTGAAATAAATTATCTTGAATAAATTTTGTAAAATTATTCAAGTGTCATGGACATGTTTGTACCAGAATATATGACGGCACATTGTAGTATCTAATAAATGGAAACTACATATCAGATACTAACTCAGAATTCAGCAAGCCTAAATGGTCATTGCCATTTAAAAAAATTAAAAGTTAGTCGTTTATCTCTAAAGCCTGTAAAATACAGTGTAAAAATCAAATACTATACATTTAAGAATATATTAATTATTACCATCATCTACAACTCTGTATAGTAGCTCTGTAGTCATCCACCATGCATAGTCATGCTAGTCTCTCCCATTCGCATCCTGTGACTTTGATTTTGTCATCTACTGGTCTCTCTACAGAATGCTCCAAATTTTTTTGTTAGTATGGGCTGTGCAAATTGCACATTACCTATATTTTAAAGTTTTAAACATTAGGGAGTGATGACAATGTTTGACGAGCCAGTCGGAGAGTGTTTTTTTACATTCAGCTTTGCTCAATGGATAAATATTTTGGATTTTGTACTAATATGCCTAAATAAATCTTAAAGGGGTTTAAATAGGTTTAAAAGTTTGTATGGAGGACCAATAAAACTATGATAATTATTATAGTACTCTACTAGCTAACTACTAACTATGAGCTATACGAAGTACTTATTCTACACAGACGAAGTTGCAGGCACCAGCTAGTTTTACAAATATATACTCCTGTCCATTACGTTATTTTTATTCCAATGCCAAACGGAACGGACGGAACGGAAAATTACTTAACCTATTACAATGTATACCGTCACCATCTTACACTCTTCACCAAATGAATATATAAAACGAAAAATGTTGTAAGCATATAAGTAGTTCTGCTCTTTGTTATGTTGTCATAGATGATAATAATGTGCCAGACAGCCACGCCAATTACCTGGTCTCTAAATCTCTAAACTAGGGAATTCCATGTACTATGAGTACCAAATCAACGGAGTTCACTCTGGGGCATTGGGCGCCCAGTTCAGAACTAACTCAAAAAAGTTATTTTCCCATGTTCATCTTACCGGGAAACGAACCTGGGACCGCCGCATCCAGTGCCCACAGTGCAAACCTTTGGGCCACAGTGGTGACTTTAGTAGTAGTAGAACTCCTTGTTAAAGAGTTCCTCTAGGGAAGTAATTACCACCTTGACTATTTCTATCACCAAGCATTAATGTGAACATTACTGCATTCCAGTTTTGAAGGGTAAGGGTGCTGGTGAAATTCAAGTCAACTTATGTCTCAGGGTAACGGGCGCAGTATCCATCAGACCTTTGCGATTTAAAACTCGCGACACCGCAAATGTTATGGACAGGTGTGTCGCTTACCTCGACTTGTTCGTCCCGTCACTATATATAAAAACTAGCCAAAACAGTTTCCACTAATGTTTAAACCAAGTTACGTTGGATAGACAAAGTTGTACTTACCAGTACCCAGGCAATAACTAACATATAGTTACTACCGAGCAACAAATTATAAATCACTTTGAATTATAACTTAAGTAAAGTATATTGAATATCACGATGTTTTAGTATCATGATTTGATAATCAATCATTTTTGAAATTAGTTCCCTAGTTGTTACAATTTTTAATACAAAGATCGAAAACTAAGAAAATTTCCTTCGGTGGATTAATTATGTTAATAAAGGCAGATTCAAACCTGAACGGCTTATTGTCAAATATATTATTTCTTGATAAGCCCGTATAAAATGGCCCATTCACTACCTGCATGGCAGTACGCCGCGCAGGCAGGAGATTGCTCATCATCGAGTATATAAAAAAGAGACGAAATATCGTTTAATTTGTTTGAAAACTATTCTGTCAAAATCGAACTGCGCTCCATCGGAGCCAGCACGAATTCGAAACAATTGTCGGGTGTCGTCAATTGTTTCACTTCAAAACGACCAGATTAACTTGAGCTTTGCTATAATGGACGTAAATTGCAAAATTACATATTTAATGAGATTCCGTTTGTTTTGTAATTAGATGTTTTGCTGTTTTTCCCATACCACCGAATAGAACAGCCCCCATTGTTAGAGATATTATCTTTATTACAATAAATACATAATATTTTTGGAATATACGAAGACGTACACTCTGGTCAGTTGTTGGCCCTGTACTATTTCAGTTTTCTAAATTTGTGATTTCACCGCAAACGAAAGTTGATATTTGAAAGAGATATAAGGCCCATTTACCTGGTGAGTTGCCAGGGATGGCCCTTATTTCGTCTCTATTCCTGGTTATATACTCGATGTTACTCACGCACTATCCTGCGTATGACCCACGTGTGGAGTCTCACAAGACGCATTGCAGGATGGCTTGCTCGCTGCGAATATATTATATTCATGAACCTTCATTACGCGGCACACGGCAAGACAGGATAATGAATTCGAGGAACCTATTTTTAGAATAATTTAGTGCGACAATTAGGTGTTGCAAATGGGCCTCGCGGACGTAGGTAGGGTCTTGGATATTATAATGAAATTTGGTTTATAATAGAAGAAATATAATCATTAATACTTTTGAAAAGAAAGATTTGATTCCTAAGCTCTTTCCGTTTGTTCTGCTCAGAATGTCAGGAAAATCGGTTCAGTATATTCCGGAAATGCTTAAAAGAAACACTGTTCCTATTGGTGGTACGATTTCTGTCCTTGCAAAACCCGTCTTTGTAAGTGCCACAGCGCTACCTATTTCTACCTCGAAAATAATATTGGAGTTTCATATTGAAAGGCAGGTAGAGCTAAACAAATCCTAAATACAGGAGACTTAAGGTTTTATGTTCCATGACAGGGCACCTACTGTATTAACAATTATTCCTTTGTAAAAAAATGAACATGTGTGCCTTCTAAATACAAATCTCGTGACTGGATGAAGTCGAAAATAAATGGCGACACTTCCATACACCAAAGTACTTATCGCGAAACTAGAATGTATTTGATTGTACTAGACCTAAACCTAGACATGATGATTGATCATAGATGCGAACTACCAATATACACATTGAACATGGCAAGTGCAATGGCCTCTAAAATCCATAGAGAAAACTTGTTCCTCCAGTACTTAGACCACTTCATGACTTGATGTGTTTATTCAAAGCAACTTGATGTAGCCTGGTTTTGTTTTACTCTGTAGTATTACTAGTATGGAATTAGGGTTGGCACGTGATATCGTTCGCTTTTAACTTTCAAAATCTCGTCTATATCGTGATCAATAATTATCATAAACCTATGCATATACCCTTACTAGGTATAAGTCTACTTTTAGAAGTAGGTTTATGGTATAGTCCAACACGTTGGCTCAATGTGGTTTGGGGTCTCTTTGAGATGGCATCCCCAGTAGCGTGAATGGATGAAAAGTAGGTAGTATTGACTTTTTACTTTGTTATTATTATTGATACAAAATCCAACAAACACAAAGAAAAATTCCTTCGACCCGGCTTGGTCGGACCAGCTACTTTTATGCCAAACCGGGGCGTGCTCAACAGCCACGGAACGAGATAACATACCTCACAAATTTCCCTATGTGCTCGTAGCCGATCTTTTTCTTCACAATTAAACCAAGTAATTATTAGTAAAGTTAAAATAAAAAATATATAAATTTAACATTGCACATGATTCGAATAACACTCGTGATGCGAGGCATTTTAATAAAACGCAAAACACTTTTAAGATGGTTATTTATTATATAACGCGTTACTGTGGCGAGCGTGAAGATATATCAACCTACAAAAGTAATAATAGAAATATGGATCCATTGAAACCCAAAAGAACAGCCTCCGGAGAGAAGGAACAACCCGTACAATGTCCTATCCCGTCAGAGATACCTACACTGTGATATACCGGGATACGTTCCTGTCCCTCGTTATACTTCTGCTGACGACGTATCTGAGACTCCCACACCAGGTCACCGAAGACTACTGTGACTCGCTCTGGCCGTGTGTCACGGCCACCTGATAGGTCGACTTTGAAATTCTTTGTAATTACGTATTATTCCTTATATCATTGTTTATTTAGTCGATTGTTTCGGTTCATTCGCGACGTGTTATTATAAATTACCGTGTTAGAAGTATTTAGCGTTTTATAATATAGAAATTGACATAAGATTCGATGTCGAATTGACATTCAAAATCGCATTGTCTCCAACGTAGGCAACGTTGAAGACAAGCGTTCTTCAAGCTAGGCTGTCACTGCTCGTGTGTTCCTTTGTAATAGAAGTTATGTTAGTTATGTGAATTCGACTTTTTAAACAAAGGAAGTAGAATTCTTAGGTTTTCGCGATTATTACACATAGGAAATGAAACTATTTTTCCGTATTTAAATCGCGAAAAAATAAAAAGAAACTTTTTTTTTCATTTCCAAAGGAAGTAGTTTAAATAGTAGTAATACATATCAGAGGCTTAACTGAATATCGAACATACAAAAATATTATATTCTTTTAATGTCACTTACGTTTAGTTTTCGAAGTATACTTCCATTATTACACTTACTAATGAACTATCAATACTATTCAATCATTTTATGGAATACAGCGTAGGCAAAATCTTTTGACTTGAATATATATAAATCCTAATCCATAATCATTTTAAGGTAAATATTTTTATTTTTACAGGTAGAGGTAGTTTCGGTCGTATCTATCTTGCGTCTGATGATGTAGAAAAGGAAGTCACCAAATCTAACGCCAGATATGTGGTTAAGATCGAACCCCACACCAATGGACCGCTTTTTGTTGAAGTACATTGCCTCATCAGAACCGCTCAGGTTGAAAAAGGTATGACTATTATCCAATGGAGTGACGTCAGCAAATTAAAAGGCAATCAATTCACTAATTCTTTCCAGCATAACAATAGTAGTATTGTCCAACCGTTACGGTTCTCAAGTAACCTTGACTTTAAACTCTAGCACATTGATTGATTATTTTGCTCATTTAAACTTGTTTGTTTTTCTAGTGAAATCTTGGCGTCAACAAAATAAGCTGAAGCACTTAGGCATGCCCATTTATATATCTAGTGGCTCCTTTACTGATGAAAACAGTGGTACCAGATATCGCTTCCTCGTCCTTCCACGCTATGACATTGATTTACAAAAGGTCATCGCGAGAACTAAAATACTTGACCTTAAAAATGTCCTTGTATTAGCTATTCAGATTTTAGATGTCCTCGAATATCTTCACGAACAAGGTTACACACATTCTGATATCAAAAGCTCTAATCTCATGCTCGGATTTGATGGAGGAAAAGTGAACAAATTTCCCTTGCTGAAACCTACACCATCATTCCAAAAAGAAACTAAAGAAGTTGGTGTTTTGTCTGGAAAACACAGAAAGGCCAAGACTGGAAAATCTAGAACCTCAAACTACTATGACGATGAGGATTTCATAATTAACGAGAAGTCTGCAAATAATTCCGAAGACGAAGATAATAATGTAAAACTCGCAAATGTGAAGAAGAAATTGAGAAAAATTCTGTCTGACAAAGACAGCAGGACTCTGCATAGGCACCACGCCTTTAACCTGCGACAACTTTCTAATTATGTCAACTATGAAGACTTGAACAGCTCCGTTTGTTCCGACCAATCTTATCAGAAACTTGTTGATGATTTTGGGCATAAGAATCTGATTCGTACTTCCGAAGAGTTTATTCAAGACGTCAAAAAGAAAGCTAAGTGTGAATCCGAGATTAATTTGGACCAAATTCACAAAGAAGCAGTGTTGTCACAATCAAATGGGCAGATTTACCTGCTGGACTATGGATTAGCTTCAAAGTTTTTGGACTCAGAAGGGAACCACAAAGATTTTGGAATGGACGCTCGCAAAGCACACGACGGAACGTTAGAATACAGCTCTAGAGATTCGCACATTGGGGCCCATTCAAGACGATCGGACTTGGAAACTCTTGGATACAATTTACTGGACTGGCTGACAGGTTCTTTACCTTGGAAAACATCAGAAGTTCTCGCCGAGCCGGACTTAGTTCACGCCTTAAAGAAAAACTTCATGAGTGATATCAAATCCTTCCTAAAAACTTGTTTCAAGACTGAGTTTTATCCACAATTCATGGAGAAATACCTTGAATACGTCACAAGTCTGGAATTTACGGACAAACCTGATTATGACTATTGTAGAAGCTTATTTAAAAGTGAGCTCCTCAAGAATGGGTGTAGCAAGGATTTGTGTCTGAATTTCGCACAAACTTCTATGTCTCCCACTAGTCGTAAATTGTGCTACTCAAAGAGATTCGGAAAAAAGAGCAGTCCTGCAGACTTTTTAGCCAGGAACGGCATCAAAAAGGCTTATGAAAGAGAAAATGTGACGTCATTCGAAAACGACTTAAAATTGGAACTACTGAAACAAACATTGAACTGTTCCAGTGATGGAGTTAGAAAACCCTGCACTTCCAGAAATTTCTTTGTTTCCGACGCGGATTTAGTCGCCCGACTTAAAAAATCTTTACTCCCACACGACATTTTCGGCAAGAAACTGTCTCCAAAGAATTTGCGTTCTAAACAAAAGCTCGTTAAGAAACGTCGTGGTGTAAAGAAACATAGAAACAGCATTGGAAAGTTTGGGAACTTCATGGGATCGGCAAGACAGTTTACTTGGGCGGAAATATTAGCTGGAAACCCAGAGGACATTATCCGCAAAGAAAGAAATGCAATTGTCAATACTAATAATGATGAAGACGATGATGAAGAAACATGTAAATATCGAATCAGGAAACTATCAAGTTCCTCGGACGGTAGCGAATCTAACCCCCAATCTCCGTTACTTCACAAGGATTACTTATTAGACATGAACCCCACATATGCTATGAAAGAGGTGATAGCTAATCTAAAGAAGAAGCTCAGCGGGAAAAATCCTAAAGATTGGGAAGATTCCACAGAAGGCTTGGAAGGATATACACCAGCCATGGTCAAAGTTCATAGAATGAAAGAAAAACGGGAAGCCCGAGAAAAAGCTGAAGCAATAAAACAACACACTCTTAAGAAGGAAGTCGTTGTAGTTCTTCCGCGATTTACCAGATCTAATAAAAAAGGGAAGAAGGAATTCAAAAAAACTAGACAGAAAACATATAGTACCAGCAGTGAGGACGAACCGGAAAAGAAAATCGAAAGATCTAGAACGACTAGGTCCAAAACTTCTAGTGACGAAAGCACTGACGAAGAGACACCGAAAGTCAAAGTTTCTAAGAAAATTAAACAGAACTCTGACAATGAACGGGATAAAAATATCAAAAACTCCATGAAAGTGACAAAGACGAGACAAAAGAATTCGACAGACATTGATGTTGACAAAATTGAAGTAACTGATAAAAAACCTAATAAAAGATCAACAAGATCTAAAAAACTGGCAGGCGCGAAGAAAGTTGAGACTGAAATTTTGGAAAAAAGTACTAGATCAAAGTCTAAGAGTGCTGTCAATATTGCGAGCACTAAAGAAGAGCTTCCAAGTAAGCCAGTTACTGTAACATGCAGAAGTAAGTTTTATTCATGAACTAACATTATGTACCATTAAAGTATTGCTATTAATTTTGAAAAGAGAAACATTATTTTATATTATTGTCTTTAATTATATGACTGTTCTATCATGTCATGTTCTATGGTGTAATTAACCAATTCTAAATCTTTCTGCAAAGAGTTAAGATTTAAGAACTACTTTTAACTTATTATTACTTTATTTTTCCAGAATCAACACCGAGAACAAGGCAATCTGCACCAATCCTAACTAATAGAAGGAGGTTGCGAAGCAGCAAGCGTAAAAGGGAATAAATTTTTAAACTCGTCAGTCATGATAGGCAACTTCAGATATTATTATTTCATTTCAATGGAATTAATTGAACAAGTGACGATTTAAAAACATAAAGTACCCTTTGAAAACCATCTTGCTGAATTACTGATTTATATGAGCCTATTGATTATAAATCTTTGAATGCCTCCTCGCATATCTTCCAGTAAGTTGCCTATATCGACTTACCTCGAAATATTTTAAAATTTCTTTTCAGTCCAAATATGGACGAAGCGTATTAGTTATAAGCTCAGGGAATACAATATTGTAATCCAATTTTTTATGTTTCTATATTGTGAATTAGTTTTCATCAATTTAATACTAGTACGACCCACCATTGTTTTTAATTAGTCAAAAGGGTCATTGATGATTTAGGTCATCCGCAGGTCATATCATTAACATCGAAGTCGCACATTTTGTGCAACTCCTCTTCTACCACCAGAACTATCAAACATAGACAAACAGTTCCTACTGCGATATTGAAGTATATGAACACACCAATTTATAAAGTCTTTAAACAACGAAATCTAATATCACAATATTGGTTTCTCCCTTCTACATTGGACTAAAACTGTGACATAGTACATGAATGACCGCAAAAACATGTCTGTGATTTTATTTGATTGACAAATTGATAAGACAAATAACTATTCTATCTAAATCTTATTTCAAAATGTAGACATCACATTTTTCTCTTTATGAGATTGATTTGGATCTATTTTTAATGCGCCGGGTGTTCTCCTGTACTCTTTTTGGCCATTAATAAAATCCTATAAATAATTATAATAAAAAAATATTCTGTACCATTTCTTGGTCGCAAACTTACTAGGCTTTAAAAAAATTGCATTTAGTGAAATATGTTTTTGATTTCAGATCGTCTGTAGTGTTTACTTTAGACTTACAACTTCGTAGATCAATAAAATGATTTTGTTTACAAACGTGTTGGTTTTTGTTTTCAAAATTCCTTTAAACCTATACTGTTTAAGCCTAGGGCATAATGAGCCCAATGAATAAGACTAGTAAGTTTTATTAACACATTTATACTAAGTAGTTAGGCAACCTTCGCTTGCCCGCCCAAGCCTGTAAGTACCCGGTGTACAAGTAAGTCGTCTAATGACGGCCGTATGCAACCGAAGCGATTGGGCGCGTCGCCTTCGGCAAGGCGAAGTAGTCTACCGAAGGCGGCAGACGACCGCCAAGTAAATACCATAACCTCTGAGACACTATATATATATATAGCCGGAAGATGCATAATAATAATATTTTTTGGATATGTTACGTCTTGTAACAATACAAAACATGCACCTGACGAAGTCAACTTGACACGTGGATATTGTTACAGACACTCCTAATCCCGTTTCCTTTCATTATTGTTATTTTAAGTTAACGCTAAAACCGCGAAAAGCCGAGAAAAAAATAAAAAAATTATGTACATATACATATGTTTCTTTTATTTTTGTCCACCCTCTAAGATGTATGTACAAATTAATTGGCTAAAATCCTATTGGCCAAAGTTTCAGCAAATAATTTGTTACTTGTTGTAGCTGTAGCCGTATCAATTTTAAAAAGGAACTTCCGCTACTTGCACAATGTTTTGGTTAAATTGTGAATAATAAATTTATTATTAACGCACTAGATTAACTTGTCCATCACAGTGTTGGTGACAGGCGTTTAGTGTTTTGTTGTTTTAATTAGTTCCACGAAAGTTTTTACTCTCAATTACATGACATAACCTGTAAATAATAAGTTTTACAAATTGTTACATAAATAGTGACTTCCTTTTAATTAAATCGCTATGGAAATCCAAGGCCAAAACGTTATACGTGTCGGCTCCAGGAAGAGCGAGGTATTTATTCTGTTTTATGTGTAATTATCTTACAATTCTAATTGCTATTTATAAATCGCCTTCACATAGATTTTCACTTAGACCACGGTTTGACGATCCCTGACACGTCCAATTCACCGTTTGATAACTAAATCGATTAAAAAACGTCGAGTCACTGTGACGGTTCATTACATTTCATATTCAAAATATTGATATAAAGTAGAAGTAATTTTTGCTTGACATTAGCATTTACAAATCATCGTTTGTTTCGATGGAGCCATAGCATTTAAAAGAAGAAGAAGTATATATCTCCTATATAATCAATGGCGTATTTGCAGTCTTGGCCACCCTAGGCCTCAGGCCATGTAGTCAGTACCAGCCGCCCGCGCCCCTTTCTCAGCACACATCATATACTCGTAGACTACATAATGAATTTATCGCCAACTTTTATCAATATCAATTCAGAAATTTTGTTATCTATAATAGCTGCTAGTTTTTAATATTTTCAGAGGTTTCAGATTTAAATAAAACATTGAAAACGGTTTTAGGTTTCATTTATTTAACTATGGGTTTATTCTCGTCCAAAATTAGATATGTGTTTTACAATGTGTTACAAAACTCTTCTGCACTTAAACGCAGCAAAATTATTAAATAAATCCTCACAATCCAATGTCTTTAAAAAATCAGCTTCCATGTTAAGCAAAGCAAGATCGTTTAACCTTTGCTCCATCATTGTTGTGCGTAAATAATTTTTAACTCATCGTAAACAAGAAAATGATAGATATTTAGGCACATTGAGTTATTTCTTGTTATCATCAGGGAATTTTTTGTCACGATTACGACGGCCCTAGGCCCGTCACTGTATATAATCTATAAATTATTTCAATTTGAATCAACTCATGCATGTCCAAGGGTCTATTTCACAGAGAGTTTAGGTCGTAGTTCACCTTAGGGTCTTTGAATAATAATAATAATGTGCCAGGCATCCACACCAATTGACACCTGGTCTCGAACTAGGAATTCCCCTGCACTATGAGTACCAAAGCAACAAAATTCACTCTAAAGTACTACACTCAAGAATACTGAGATTAAAACCAATTTAGAAAAGTTAATTTCCCATATTGGTCCTATTTGGGAATCAAACCACAGATCTTCTCATCCAGTGACCACAGTCCAAATCATTGAGCCACTGATGTTGTCAATATTCCATGTTTAAAGGAAGTAAAACTACAACTATACTTTATATTCTTATGCCAAGATCTCTCTCTCAATAATAGAATAAGTAATAGCATAAGTAACTAAATAAATAACTTAATAAATTTACATAGAAAATATTATTACAGTTTAATAGGGTTGTCAAATATTTTAAAACAATACTTTGATCTCTAGATACTTTTATATACATATATGGGCCATTATTTTATTTTAGGACCAATTTGGAATACGTTTACAGATTTTTTTAATTTTTATAAACTTATTATTTATGTACCGTTACATTTTTATTTATGTTTATTAACATTTATATTATTCATTAAATACATTTGCAGCGATAATTTCTGGCTATTTCTTAAAGTTATTGACGTTTTATCGAGGAATGATGAGAAAAAAATACTACTGCGTTACTTTCATACAAAATTATGTTTTATTGTTAGGAACATGTATTTTGGTTCGTAAACATATATCACGTAAAAAGTAAGGACATTATACGTTAATCTTACAAGTTAAATCACAAAATAGTCTCAGTCTAGTTATTTATTTTATAATAAAGTTTCTTACTGCGTTACCAATCAATAAACTTAAATGCAATACTTTTCGAAAAAAGGACTAAATAATAATATTTTTTTGCTTAATGTCTTAAAAATAGCTCCAAATAAGGTGAGTCATAGATATTATTTTTAGTTTAAGTTTATTTTTAATATAGAATAGCTGATATGTTAGTGAATACTATCTGGAAACGAGGGACAAAAAGATAACGCAGTGGTTAATTGGTAACGCAGTGGTTTCTCAATCACAGTCTTTAAACTTTCTTCAATTAAAACTAATCATAATGTAAGAAAACAATCAAACAAAAATAAACAGAACTCTTCGTTAAATAATAAACATTAAAATCTTTGAAAATAATCAACTTATAAACAACTTAAATCAACAAAAATATATCTCAACACAAGGTCAGTCTCATTTTTCAAAAATGTTCAATGGCACACTGAATTTGAAGAACTCACGTCTACCCTTTTTAATTATTTTTGGTTTCGGAACTATCTCCAAGATATTTTCATAAGGCTCGTAAGAAATATCTTTCTCCATGGCTTTGAATAGTTTCCCAGAATCATCGACAGATTTGAAAAACATTATCTTTACCTCTCCCTCTTCATCAACACCGCTTTGAGCGACGCCCAGGTAACAATAAGATTTATCTTTGTTAGAGATCACTTTTACTAAGACGTAAACCCCCATGAATACTTTGGATGGGTGTACATTTTCCTTTTCAATCAGGTCTTTTTCATGTCGATTGGAAACAGAGGCTTCTTGTTCTTTCACGGGTTTAAGTTTCGAAAGAGGCTCGTCATTATCCGTGCTTGAAGAAGAATAAACCATTTCAAAGTAAGCCTTCTTGGAGTGATTCACAATGTTGGTTATATTCTTTAAGACTTCCTCCTCATTCATAGCTTCTGCACAATGGCTTTCTGGAGACTTATTGATGTTTTCCTCAAAATAATTTCTTTTAGGAGGTTGTTCGAATGTGTTACCGATATCATTCCCTTCTGGAGATAGCCTGATTATGCTGGTAGAAATAGGAATTGGCCGATATCTTTTTGGTGACAAGCAAGCGCAGAAACCTCTCTGACAGAAGCAACTAAGGTCACGGTACTGCAATTCACCTGGAGTATCCGAAAAAACTTGATGTACCTGCATAGTACCACGAAGCGGGATAATATCTTTGGGAACAGTCTGCTCAACCTTTTCAATATCGGCATCAGTCACAAAGTATAGTTGGATTTTGCTGGAGTCTTTCAGAGTGTTGAAAAAAGTCTCTGCGTCAGGAATATCACAGTGAGAGGCCACTTTTCTGTCAGCTGCACGTTTGAGATATCCACCAACACCATCAGCAGCGCCCTTTCCATGGCCTGCTTCGAAAAAGTTCCATGTCATGCGTTCAAAGCCATAATCTTCGAATGTTTTTGTGCAGATGAAATGAAAGTTCAACTTCTGCCGGTACTGAGTTGCGGGTCCGTCGGAGAAGATATGAATGGTTTTTACGTGAGAATGGTTGTCTTTCAGGTAACTAATAACTGGGTGAAGGTGGGCCCAAATGGACGCAGGATTGTGAGAATTATTACCTGATACGGTGCAGAATGAACTGACCTGCAGCTTATATTCACCGTCTTGTTTCATATACATAACTCCAGTATGCAAAGTTACTTGCTTGCGCGATCCTCCAAAATGATGAGACTGGATTTCCTCAAAATGTTTACAGCTGTAATTTTCGCTAAAATCAACATGCAGCACAGCTTCATCACTTTTCAGATCATCTATTGCTTCCCGGTAACTCCTGTACTGTATTTTAATATTATAAATATGTTTTCTTAATGTAACTAGAGCCTCTTTAAATTTATCTGCCAGTTCTGCGACGGTACCTTCGGTAATTTCCTTTATATTTTTTGTAATTTTTACTTTCTTGCCTGATTTGTCAACAATTTCTGTTTTTGTAACCCATTGTTGCCATTTAAGTAATTGGGATTGATCCGGTATTTCGTACTGTATTTCTTTAATTTTACAGGTGTCGCAATTGCCAGTCATGCAAGCTCTGTTATCTGTAGCACACACGGTGTTCTCAATAGCTTGGGTGATGTTAGATTCGGATATAATTTTGTGTCTGTGAAGAGCATTCAACAAGTATTGTGAATTAACATGTGTCTTACATAGACAGGTATCTCTGCCATCAACAGTTGGTGGCTTTATATAAAAGGGTCTTTGCTTGGTAAAGTAAGAGTATGAACATCTCTCGTTAGGATTTTCTCTTTTGAATGAATTGAAAAGATTTTTCATTGTATCCAGGAGGTATCTTTTCTGTACTTTTTTCTTTTTGCACGTCACTGTTTCTCGTTTCCCAGCAGTAGCTCTGGATACATCATCACGATCATAAAAAATCTTTATCTTCTTTGCTAGGATGGCCTGTTTAGGTGCAATCTGACTTTGTTTAATTTTGTTAATGCCTATAGTTTCTTGCACAATGGCGACTTTCATTCTAGAATTTTGTATAGACTCTCCTTGGAATATTTTTTTGATAGCTCTTTTCTCTTTTACATTATTCATCCTCCTGTAACGATCTTTGATGGCATTGGATAAAACTGCATATTTTTTGTCGCCAGATTCCGACTGGTTTGCATTTACGGTGTTTTTGTATCTTTGGTATCTTTTTTTGTACTTATTGCACATCTTTTTTAGTTTTTCTATTTCTTCCTGCAATTTTGAATTTTGTCTATATAATGCAGACCGGTCTCGTCTTACTTGTCTTCTTCCTCTAGACCGCGAAGAAACGGGAGTTCCTGAACGTGGTGTGGAAACTGGGGTTTCGATCATAATGGCTTGTAATGCTTTTTGACGCTCTCGACGTTTTTTGTTTGCAATCTTCCATTTGCGCTTAGCAGATCTATGTTCCGTTTTTGTCATATCCTTTACGAGTTTTTTTTTCGCGTGGTAACGTTCCCGATGTTTTCTTTTGGCTTCAGCATTCTTAACTGGATTTTCTTTTAATTTTTGCCTATAACGCCGTTGTTTTTCAGCCGCTGTTAACGCCATTGAGTCCGAAATGTTATGCTGTAACAATATAATATGCTCAAATGTTACATTGGTACCATGAATTGAGTAACATATAACTGAAAACTATAAGAAAAGCCACTGAGTTACTATAGCTACAACTGCGTTACTATTGCCAGTAACGCAGTGTAGCGGTAACGCAGTTGTAAAACAATAACCTATTTGAAGGTAGTAATTAAATAGATACACATACATAGGATATCAAAATGCCCTCAAAATTGTAACTAATTTTTACATACATTGCATGAAACAAAATAATCAATATCTAGAAAACTCACCGTACGTCGCCGGTAACTCAGTGGCCTCACAATAAACACACGCGCTTCTCTCCAGGACTCTCGTGCGACTGACTTGGTTATTTTACCCGCCCCGCTCCCCCACCTACACTCCGATACAAATACACAGCCATTCAAACGATCTTAGGTGTAAGGAAGTGTAAAAAGGTTGATTTATGGTTGACTTTCCTATGGTAACCTTGTGTAGGTGTATTTTTGCTTGGCCTTGGGGACTCGGCCAGGAATATTTAATTGACCCATAATATGTTGTTATAAAATCATTCTTATTACCGTGAAGTGAAGTTCAAACAATGAGATATTAGTTAAAATATTCAAAAACATGGTTGTCATTGTATTTTTTTTCAGACGTTGCGCTTGTTTCAAATGACTCGGTTCGAAGGACAGCCAATTTTTATATGAAAACAATTGCGTTACCAAAAACAACAACAGAGTTACCGTAATTTTTTAAATAAATATAGTATTTTACTTAAATTTATAATATTTTCTGTGACGGGTGTCTAATTAGATTGCTACCGACGGTAGATTTATTCTTGATTTTAATTTATTTAATTTAAAAAGTATATTTTTTTGCAGGGGACCGATAATTGTACCCATAATAAAATAATGGCCCATATGTGTATATGTAGTTATCTACGAATTTCAATTAATTATGAATATAAAAGAGAAAATAATTATTATTTGGTGGTTTGAACTGCTCCATGTCACTGTATCTATATGTAGATGTTTACCATTGTTAATAATTGCATTCTACCTAATTCAGCCTCATCTGTCTGGTGGTGATGACTGTAGGCCTTTTGTAAATAAAGAGTCTATTTGGCATTTATGAAATCTATGTACTGGCTAATAATATTTTATAACTGTGTGTTTATACATAACCGAACGGTTACCATGCCGAACTGTCACGCAGAGGTCTCGGGTCCGATTTCCGTGTTCCGGGTTCCAATGCCGGGAGAAATATTTGTATGGCCTACATTTATTTCTCTCGTGAGTTTTAGTGTAATTTGTGGTTGTCTATGTGTGCGGGGCTAAAAAGAAGAGGTTTCGGATTTTTCCCATACTGGACAGTATTATTTTTATCCATTAAAAAGACACTATAGTATAGATATACATAATTATTCGTATTCGCTGATTGAACTCTTCAGTTTTGGCTTCCTTGTATCTTCTATGGTTTCGGATTTCCCCATACTGTTCCATTTAAAAAAAACACGCTGTATACATAAGGGTCCAAAGATAAACGGATACAATTGTCAATTGCGACTTTTATTGTAGCTTACATCTTCAAGGGGTCCATTCTGAAGAAGATTGGGAAACACTGTTCAACAAAGTTCGTTTTAATCCATTTTCAACAAAATGTTAACAAAAAAGCACTGACCCAACCATAGACGGTTTAATGATGGCTAATTGTTATGCCAACTACAAATCGATTAATTAATTGAATGAATCGATTTATTTAATTGAGTCATGCTAGCGGTTTTCCCTACATAACCTGCTAAGCATATTTAAAATTTCCGAAATCTTAATTTTAAGCCCTCCTTCAAATCCTTAAACTTAGAGACACGTTCGATTGCGATTTAAATATTGGAGTTACTAATCGATTACAAAAACTTTAATTGAATGAACCGCATGTTTTGTTCCGTACAGCACTATGCAACCATAGACAAGTAATAGATGTATAGTTGAAAAATAACCTCACTTTAGTACTTCCATTTTTTAAATACAATTTTACGACGCTATTCAAATAAATATTGTTGGAAAAAGTGATGAGATGTCAAGTCGAAATCTACGTGATAGTGTTACTTATTCGATTTATTAAGTAATTGCTCTAGAATTTTAACCAAACAGTTTTGTTTACTTTTTGTTGAAAATGGATTGGAACAGACTATACATTATAATTTCATTTATCAAAGTATGCAAATTTCAAAGAATTATTTTATTATATTGCAGCTAGCACTTATACAAACGAATTTTGTGATAGACAGCTTGAAAAAGGTGTATCCAGAGAAAGAGTTCACTATTGGTGAGTATTTTTACACATCCCACTGCTGGGCACATCCGTCTCCTCTAAGGATAGGGTTTAGGCCATAGTCTACCACAATGGCCCAATTGCTGGTTGGCGACTTCAGAAGTTGTCCGTGTGATGTCAACCTTCTCCGACGTGTAGGCTTCCTCACGACGTCTTCGTTCACCGAAAAGCTCATGATAGATTTCAAATTAAATTTCGCACGTAAACTCCGAAAAACACAATGGTGCGATCCCGGATTCGAACCCATGGCCCTCTGCTTGAGAGATAGTAGGTCAAACCATTAGACTACCGCGTCTGTTTTTAATTTGATTAAAATCTTGTTTAGTAAAAAAATTTTTTTTTAAGTAAATCCTACTTAAAAATTACAATTTACCAAATTTTAATAACAGCAAATTTCTTAGGTTTTCGCGATTGTTACACATAGGAAATGAAACTATTTTTCCGGAATGGTCAAATGACCATGGGACCTGTAAAGGGCCCGAAACGTCGGTTTGTTTGAAAAAACAAATATACGCGATTTAAATCCGGAAAAATAGTTTCATTTCCTAACAGCAAATTTCTTCGAATCAATTTTGAGATAGAATTTTGGATAATAGTTGTAACTAAGTTTTTTTTTCAGTAACAATGACAACCTTAGGGGACCGTATACTGGATGTGTCATTACCAAAAATCGGCGAGAAGTCGCTCTTCACGAAAGATCTAGAGGACGCTCTGCGTAGCAGTAAGGTGGATTTTGTCGTGCACTCTCTGAAGGACCTACCTACTTCTTTACCGGAAGGACTTGCCATTGGCGCCGTCTTTGAAAGGCAAGTCGCTTAATTTACGTTGCATTGGTTTCATATTAAATTCCGGTTTGTGCCACATGACGACGCAAAATATGTTGTCTGCCAACTCACGAACGCAGTTACGTCCGAACTTTGGTCGCACTGTGTGAAGAGCTTATGCGGGTAGACAGAGGGGTGAGGGAAACAGTTGTTGCCACTGGATGGTATCTTATGGTGGCACTTCACATGGCTATTTGTATTTGCGTAGTTGATATATTTGGCAAACAATCACCATGTGTAGATAGATGTGTGACAAAGCATTTGCCATGTCTGTCCATTCGACAAATACAGCAAACACCAAACTTGCGTTACAGCACGGTGGTCGGTTTCTGGACTCAGATCAAAGGTCCACACTGTGGTCATATTCATTATTTTAATTCCTTATTTGGCTTCACGTGTAGACGGTCATATCTGTCAGTGTTTGCATGTTTGTGTGTACGTCAAATATTTTTCCAAATACATCAAACACAGTGGCCATATGGAGTGCCGCCATTACAAATTGAGACTCATAAAACGCGACTAATAAGTCAAAAGATTATAATAATAAAAATAATCATTTTTTTCGGAACTGGTCCATAAATTGTTAATAAATTGCAAAATGCTTAGGTCTAAAGGTCTAGTTATTTGCACAATATATAAGGATTAAGTCGTCTGGCGTCACTGTAAGTATAGCAAAATGCAACACACATGCTACTTATATTAAAAACTCCCAAATACCAAACTAAGCAAGGCCTGTATGACAGGTTCCAGTTGGTATCGCTAGATAAATAGTACATTTCATTGTTGTGTTTAAATTCATCATAAATACTGTAGAATAGAATTTTATTTTATTTAAACTTTTCTTTATTACTCTCTATGTTTATTACCTCTAATTTGTCGACTTAAGGACTCGTATCCATGGTCATGAAATAAATAAAAAAAAACACTACATACAAATTTTGTTTTTAGTCTTTTTTTATTATTTCATGACCATGGACTAAGATTCATGAGCGCAGAACTTCTTAGTTCATGAACTACTCAAGTCCAATACAAAATAAGTTTAGTAAAATATATTGTAAATATATAAATGCGAAATATGCATTCAGAATTTTTAGAGCATAAAAATTTTGCCTATAGAAATGCATATAGAAAATGTAATGAAAACTCCGTGGGCATAATTTAGGACATCACGATCGACTTTGACACTGTTTACGTGCAAGTGTGATGAAAAATATTTTTCAATTACAGAGAAGATCCCAGAGATGCTTTAGTGCTCAGGGAGGAGCTTAAGGAACATACACTTTCGAGCCTACCAGCAGGATCTGTTATTGGTGAGTCATTTTTTTGTTCTAGCAACTTTTACCAAAAAAGCAAGTTTTTCACAACCAAATATGCCATTTCCCCAACAAAAGTATTGATTGCACATCAAAAGAAAATTAATTTAGCATTAAGTACTAAAATTAAAGCTTAACATTTTATCACAATGCATATCTAACATCTAAATACATAGATATCTAATGTTTCTGGCATACAACCACAGACATATATCTAGATAGACGCCGCAAGTACAGCAATTTGTATGCAAACCGAGCGTGCAACATTTTATGTATCCATGACGTCACAAGAACTACATATTTAGTGATGGGAAACCTCCTTCCGCGCTAAATCGATTGATTGAACGGAATACACGTATTCCATTCAATTAATCGATTCAAGTATTCGTTGATTACAAGTAGTCGTGAAATATTAATATAGTAGAAAAATACCAAAACAATATACTATGTCCTTTATTAAAAGTTGTTTTGAAAAAAATTTAATCATAGGAAATGAAACTATTTTTCCGGATTTAAATCGCGTATATTTGTTTTTTCAAACAAACCGACGTTTCGGGCCCTTTACATGTCCCGTGGTCACGGTTGACTGAGGTGGTACAGTCTTCAACCAGTTATGTCTAATATTGATGCAAACCACCCTATTTTTTCACTATAGTTTCAATAGTTATTAATTAAATACCTTATTTTTAATTTTACAAAGAAAACATTCAAATTTTCGCTACATTAAGTTTTACAAATTATTTTATTGAATGAATTTTTATTAAGTTCAATGTATTATTAATTAATAATACAAATTAGAATAAATTAAAACATATTAATTAGTACTTTTAATCCGGAAAAATAGTTTCATTTCCTATGTGTAACTATCGCGAAAACCTAAGAACTCGATAAATTTTAATTACTTAAAAATTTAAACTTTAATTTTTAATCTTGAAATATTAAAATTATTGTTCTTGAAATAATATAAGCTTATTATATGTATAAATGTCTTTTTGTAATAGAAGATCTTATCGATTGACTTAAATAATGAAAACGCACGTCAATATATGAACTTGCAACTGCCTTAATTAAATTTACTAGATGGTTTTCCGTCGGTGATTGATCAAATTGGTGAATGGCATGACAACTGAAAATGTTACTGTTGACAAAAAGTTTACTTAATGTCGGCCTCGTGTAAAGTTTTTGTGATTTTAGCATGATTTCTTGGATTTCTAACTATGCTACTCTGCATATTCGGATAGCACCTTTGGTGGGATAAACTAGACCACCTTCGTTCTTGTTCTGAAGCGTAGACGCGGCAACTAAGCGTTTTTTGATCGATTAATTGAACGCGTAAACACGCGTATTCCATTCAAATAATCGATTCTAAATAGAATAGTTTTTGTTCAAGTATTTGTTGATTACAATGTCGTAATATTAATACAGTACAAAAATACTAGAATAAGACAATTTAGTCCTTTATTTTACTTTAAAAAAATTTCAGACTTTAGTTTTTAATCGATTTCAAATATTAAAATTATTGTCCTTCCAGTGAAATGAGCTTATTATATAACATCTTTTTGTAATAGAAGATCTTATCGATTAACTTAAATAATGAATATGCACGTCAATATATAAACGTGCGATTGTCTTAATTACTTTTACTAGAAGGTTTTCTGTTGGTAATTGATCAAATTGATGAATGGCAAGACAAATAAAAATGTTACTGCTGACAAAATATGGTAACATCTTATTAATCAGAAGGGGTTTACTTAATGATCGCCTCGTGTGAAATTTTTGTTATTTGTTTATTATTTTCTCGGATTCTCTGCTACTGTGCGTATTTGGATAGCATCTTAGGTGGGATAAACTAGACCACCTTTGTCCTCCATAGCAACGATCTCATACGTATGACCAACTCCAGGTTTTTGTAAAGACAGCGCACTGTTAATTCTTTGCTTTATATATTTTTTTGTATTATTCGTAATAATTAAATAATAGTAATAATTAATATGTAATTATTGTCTCACTATATTCGGACAGTCGAAGCAACGTGCTGCAAAAATTATCGAAATCACAGATACTACTGATAATAGATACTACGAAACTGAAAACGAAACGTTACCAAACGTTATAACAAAAGAGTTAAATAATATTTTTATAATATTGCTAACTGTAGTGGCCACATAAAATTGAAAGTCAATAAAAAGAAAGCAAATATAGACAAAGATAATATAAATATCAACAAATCAGGGGAAAAAAGTGTGAAAGCCAATCTTTTAAGATGTTGATTTGTTTTTATTAGTTTGGCTTTTTTGAAGACGCGGTAATAGTTCATCGTGCAAAAGTGTTGCCCGCTTACGAGCAGCTAGTGATTGCAGTCGATAAATGTTCTATCGGCTGAATATTGGTCACGCTCATGGAATAAATAACCGAACTTGTTTCACTTAAATCATCCTCGACCCATTATTCATCCAATTACAGAGCACAAGTTCCTTTGAATTGTCAATTTTTGTAAGTTCATACA